AGGGGAAGGGAAAACCTTGAAGCTTGGATCTCCATCTTCTTCAAGCTTAGATCTCTAAGATATTGGGTATTCTAGGTGAGTTTAACCTCTATCTTTTACTCTTTATGAGTGGATTTATCTTTGGAGCCCTAAGATTGATATTTGAAAATATTAGGGATTTTGACAAGGAGTATTTGGGCAAACTAAATAGCTAAGATTTGGATGTTTTAGGTAAGTGTTTATTCCTCTCAAAACTATTTTTACCCTATACTATAAATTAAGCTTGTGTTCCGAATTGTTATAATGAAGCTTGAGCTGCGTATTTTTGGACTAGAAACGTTGCTATGTAATCTGGACTGGAATTGTTGTAAACTGTGTTTCTGGACAGAAAGTATGGTCTTATTTAATCTGAACTGGAATTAACACCATGTGTAGTGATGGTTGAATGGTTTATGGTTGCTGTGCTGGTAGTAGTTGGTCCAGAGTTTGAATCTGCTTTGCTAATAAGGCCTTATGTTTGTTTTATATACGTAATATATGACTTATGTTTGTTTTATATATGTAATATATGCTTATAAAATGAATTATTTGTTTAAAGTGAGACTTGAACTCTTAACCTCTTACTTATTAATTTAAGTTTTTTTCCAACTAAGCCATTTCAATCCCTTTGAAATTACTTTGGTTTAATAAATCATTCTATGATTTTTAAAGAGTTATGTACTAAGAAAATTATTATTTTGAGAATGGTTTATACCTTGCATATTTCTTAGTTTGATAAACTTATTATCTATTTTGGAAATAGGTACTTTGTTATGTGATTTTAAAGAAATGATTTTTGCTACATCGGGCTATTTGATTATAAGAACTATTTGGATCATTTGATAAAACTCATGAGGCAACCTACATTTTGTTGTTTGTTTTGTTTGGCTTGGAACGTTCCTAATTGCTCATTCTGAATCGTCGAGTTTGACTCATTCCGAATCGTCGAGTCTTTTGAATTATTTGTTGGAACGTTCCATCCGGCTCATTCCGAATCGTCGAGCCTGACTCATTCCAAATCGTCGAGTCTTTTTGGACCATTATACCAATAATGGCATGTTCCACAAAATATAATGGTGGTTGTAGGTTGCCAATGGGTCATATGTTAAGGAATGATTTGTGCTTTTGAAAGTCTTTTGTTATGAAATATTGTTGATGCCTATGTAGCTAAAGTTTCTTGTTTTGTGAGCTTATGTATTGTATGATGGAGTATATTATGACTTCGATATGGTTTAAAGATCAAGTTTTGCCTGTAGTTATTACTCTAAAGCTTTTTGTATTATATTGGGGTTACTTGATCCGGGGTTGAGAGGAGTACCACTTACTGGGCATTAGCTCATTATTTGTATTTGTTTTTCCTCATGTTTCAGAGTAGTTAAGGACATGTGAATAGCACGAGCACAAGTGGTGGGGTCTCGAAGGTGACTTTTGGAAACTAGGAGACTTAGTCCTACTATTGGAGCTTATCACAGATTTTTGTTTCTTTTGGATATTCCCGTTGACCCTTTGTATTTTGGTAAACCATTGTGCTTGGTTTTGGTGCTTGTAATGCATTTTGTCATGCTAGTCTTGATTGTAAATATTTAATAGTGGTGATTTGGTGAGTTTTTGGGAAGAACTAGTTGTTTATATTGGCCATAAAAGTGAGGAATTGTTATGTATTAAAGTGTTGTTATGAAGGTTCCGAGAGGTATATATGGCTAGGTTTCGTATTGTTACAGGCTTTCGTGTAGCGATACGGCCGGGTCATGTCCTAGAAGCGGGGCGTGACACATACCTGGCCAGGTTTGGGAGATATAAAGCCAGGGGGCATTGTCATATACACTTCTTCATTTAACTCCCCATGGAGGAAGGCATTATTCACATCTAGTTGATGAAGATTCCATCCTTTGATTGCAGCCACCCCAAGCAAAACTCAGATTGTAGTTATCTCTGCCACAGGGCTGAATGTATCTAGGTAGTCTAAGCCAGGTGTTTGAGTGTAGCCTTTAGCCACTAACCTAGCCTTGTACCTTTCAATGGTTCCATCAGCTTTAAGTTTGGTCTTGAAAACCCATTTGCAACCTATGGGGACTTTAGAAGATGGGAGATCAGTGAGAATCCATGTATTGTTTGCCTGTAGGGAAACTTTACAATTAGACCCCTTCATAAGGTCTCCCAAGGAGATCAGATTATAATGGAAGATGGGGACACACAATACATTCTGCAAAATCAAATCAGTAGATAGATGGACAATCCCAATGTGTGAGACTTCTGCCTAATGTCCATTTGGTAGATCTACATAGATTCCTTGTAATTTCTTGGATGTGTGAGGTAAATGGATGCTACAAATAATGTGGTGGGTAGCACCACTATCAATTATCCAAACTGATTCAGGCTTAGCTAAACTGATGTGAGTATTAGCTGTTTTACCTTCATGTTGAGCATTGGGGATCAAGTTGGCTGCTATAGTATTGGCATGTGGGGCGAGATCAAGGGGAGTATTAGCCCTGACTCTCTCTTGTTGTTGCATGAACTCCAAAAATCTTCTGCAGTCCTCTTGAGTGAAGGATGAATTAGTCCTTGGACTTTCAGTGTCTTGCACAGAACTCTGGACTTGGTTAGAAGAACCCCACCCTTTGTTTCTTGGCTTCCAACCTGGAGGATAGCCATGCTTCTTGTATCACTTCTCCACAGTGTGCCCTGTATAACCACAATAACTACATACAGGTTTCTACTTCTGATTAGAGAAGGTTCTCTTACTGCCATCATCTGCTTTTGTAAAGAAAACATTTGCCCCTGTAATGCCATCTCCCAGAGCACTAGATTCAATGTGTACTTGCCTCTCTTGTTGTGAAATCATGAAAAAAGCTTCAACAACATCTGGGAGGGGTTTCATCAGCATGATCTGATGCTTGGTGTTAATGTAACTATCATTCAAACCAGTTAGGAAGGCAGACAACATATCATTCTCTAAATGTGCCTTCACTTTTTCAAATAATTTGTTCGCACATTCACAACCAGTAGGGCATTCACAGCCAGGAATAGGTCTAAGAACAAGAAGTTCATCCCACAGTAATTTCAATTGTGTAAAGTACTCATTTATGGTAGAGTTACCTTGCTTCGTTTGATAAATTTGTGACTGGATTTTAGCAATTCTGAATATATCTTGCGGGCTGAAGCGCTTCTTCAGGTCTTTCCACACTCCTTCAACAGTATTGATCCAAAGAACACTTCGAGCTATAGTGGAAGAGACAACCCTAAGTATCCATGACAAGACCATCGTGTTGCAGCGCTCCCAGTAATAATATCTTGGATCAAGCTTGCTCGGAACAGCCACATGTCCTCTTACAAAGCTCATCTTGTTCTTGGACATCAAAGCCATCTCCATAGCTCTAGACCAAGAATGGTAATTAGACCTTCCTTCCAGCTGCACTGTCACGAGTTGTAGGGTTGGGCTTTTGTTCGGGTGAATGTGAAGAGGATTCGTCAGGTTTTTCGAGTCGAAACTCCCAATCGGAGTTGGAGCTAGATTTAGAATAGGATTTGGGCGGTTTTGATTCGCACCAGATGAACCAGCTTGGTTCTGGTTTCCTTCTGCTTGATTTGAACCTGCTTGCATAACCATATTTGCAATTGGTGGTCTCCAAGCCATCACTGCTCTGATACCATGTTGAGAAGGGAGAAGCAGTTCAAGAAATTGGAGGAAAGAAACTGAAAAGAATTGATTGATGTATGCAAAACTCAAACTTTCATCTATCTGTTTCTGTACAATCTGAATTGGATGTTATGAAACTAAGAAGCGGGAAAGGGAAAGGATTTAAACTATTACAACTGAAGCCAACTGAATGAACAGAGTTAGTTATGGAGGTTGAGTGATGTGGATAGATTCAGTTTGTTGACTTGAGGGTTGACTCTTAAGTTCTTTTTGGGGCTAGAAGTAGCAAGGAGCACTAAAGGCATATCTGTCTCCTAGAGGAAGTATACATTAGAGCTACTTGAAGAGACTGGTTTTCTGGATTGCAAACCAGCCAAAACACCTACGGCAACAACAACAAAGCTCAGTAAAACCACTGGGAACAAAATTGAAGACATTACTCAATATAGAAGGCTTGTGGGAAAACTGTTATATCTTACAATTACAAGACCAGATATAAGCTATGCTACACAACAATTATCTCAATTCCTAGATTGTCCTACTGATATACACATGCAGGCAGCACATAGAGTTTTGAGATACATCAAAAGAGCCCCAGGCCAAGGGCTGTTCTTCTCAGCATCTTCATCTCTACAGATTAAAGGGTTCACTGACTCTGATTGGGCTGCTTGTCCAGACACTATAAGGTCTGTTACTGGGTTCTGTATGTTTCTTGACACCACTTTAATATCATGGAAATCAAAGAAACAACACACCATATTTAGAAGTTCATCCGAAGCTGAGTATAGGGTCCCTGCAGCTGCAGCTTGTGAGATTCAGTGGCTCATTTACTTGCTGCAAGACTTGGGAGTGCAGCTTAATTCCCCAGCCATATTGTATTGTGACAGCAAATCCGCAATTGCTATAGCAGAAAATCCAGTGTTCCATAAGAGGACGAAACACATGCATCAAAATAGACTACCACCTTGTGAGGGAAAAACTGCAAAGGCAAGTACTGAAACTGATGCATGTCACCACTGAAAGCCAGCTTGCTGATGCATTCACAAAACCTCTTGCTTCTGCTACCTTCTCCAAGTTCATCTCCAAGATGGGTCTACATTTCTTGTACACTCCAGCTTGCGGGGGAGAGGGAGGGGGGGGGGGGGGGTGTCAAGAGATAAGAGTCAACCCTCAAGTCAACAAACTGAATCTGTCCACATCAGTCAACCTCCATAACTAACTCTGTAAATTCAGTTGGCTTCAGTTGTAATAGTTTAAATCCTTTCCCTTTCCCGCTTCTTAGTTTCATAACATTCAATTCAGATGGTACAGAAACAGATAGATGAGAGTTTGAGTTTTGCATACATCAATCAATTCTTTTCAGTTTCCTTCCTCCAATTTCTTGAACTACTTCTCCCTTCTCGACAACTGCCCCGAAAAATCCCTCTGCTGCCCACAACTTAACTAATGTCTTTGCATGGATTTCGTAATCTTCGAGAAAAATTCCAAAACAAATTATGTTTTACCAAATACATTGCAGTAGAGATTCTAATGATAGAGTTACCTGATGAACTAGCAGCATATTCAGCCACCTCTCTAACCCGAGAAGTCAGTAGTATACGACTTCCATTATCATCATTTGGAAAGCACCTTTGCACACTATCCCAAGCTTCTTTACTCCATATATCATCTATCACTATCAAATATCTCTGATCCTTCACGTTTTTCCGCAGACTTTCTGCTAATTGGCCTGGGTCGCTGCTTTGTTCATCACTTGATGCACTAACACAACCAATAAGGCATCTAAGGATTTTCCCCATGGTATACTCTTGGGATACGGTAACCCATGCTTGCTTGTAAACATAAGAAGTAATTGAGGGATCTTCGTAGACTTTGCGAGCTAAAGTGGTTTTGCCTATTCCTCCCATGCCAACAATTGATACAAGTTGTAGCAGCTTCGCTGATTGTGGAGTGAGATGATCCTTTATCGTCTTGAATTCCTCGTCGCATCCAACCATTGAAGCTGTTTTGGAAAATTTACCCAAAGTAATGTTGTCGCGTTCTATATCTGCAGGCTGTGATGATGTTGAACCAATTCCCCTTCGTCGCATCCAACCAGTGAGTGATGAACCCCTTGCAAGCCTGAGGAGTTAGTCTTTTTAACTACTTCAATGAAGATCCCATGAAGCCTGAGGAGGCAAGCCTCTATGCTGCTTGATTGAAGATAAATGGTAGCCAACTCCATCTCAATCCTTTCTTCGGCTTTGAACGATACATCTCTCATCTCTGCCTCTAGATCTTTCATCACCCCTGCATCATCATAGGCGATCTCAGATTTCTCAAGACTGTCTTGAAGGAAACCAAGATTTCTATGGAGAGAAACAATTTTTTGTTTATATATAAGAGGCACGCGTGGTTCTGACTGCAAGAAATGTAGATCGAGTGTTCCTTTAAGCGAAGTTGCAGCAGCATAAGCCATTTTTGTCTGACTATGTGGTAAGCTGATCAGAGCATAACTAAGAAGAAATGAATGATGTGATGCAAGTTAGACAGGAATTCTGGTCAACAGGGCTAAAGTCTAAACAACCATGATTTTAAAATTAGCGGTAGTGGGTTAGCAATTGTGAGATAATTTAATATCAAATGTTTGTACCTTATGACAATTATTTTCAATTATTTTAATTAACATACAAATAATTTAACTCTTTTCATTTAAATATTAATTTGGTGCCTTCGTGGTTAGAATATTTAAATATAATTATATGTAGGAGATGTTACATTTTTTGTTATTGAGTTATACTCTGTGTACAGACTTCGTTCCTAAATTATACACATGTCCATCTTTGACCTCTTAATTTTGACAAAAGTGACATTTATAGTCTTTCAGGGATTGAAGCTTCGTTCTAACCATGTTAAGCATTGAGGTTGTGTTTGGTTCAAACATTGGAATCAAAATGGTAACATAAATCAAATACTTGGTAATATAATGATTTTAAGTAGGATGAGTCTTTGTATTTGGTAGTAATATATATATATATATATATATATATATATATATATATAGAATTAAGTTCCAGTGCGGGTAAGTATCTCCCGTGCGGTTGGACGGGTGATTAATGTGCGTGAGTTTTGTACTTAATGTGCGTGAGTCTTGTGCTTAAGGTGCGTGGGATTTGTGCTTATTGTGTGTGAGTGTGTAATGCTTAATGTGCGTGAGTTTTGTACTTAAGGTGCCTGAGTCTTGTGCCTAAGGTGCGTGAGTTTTGTGCTTAATTTGCGTGAGTGTGTACTTAATGTGAGTTGTTGTGTGAGTTGTTGTTGAAACTTTAATGTGCATGAGTTTTGTGCTGAATGTGCGTGAGTTTTGTGCTTAAGGTGCGTGAGTCTTGTGCTTAAGGTGCGTGAGTCTTGTGCTTAAGGTGCGTGAGTTTTGTACTTAATGTGCTTGAGGGTGTACTTAATGTGAGTTGTTAAAACTTAAGGTACATGTGTTTTTGTGCTTAAGGTACGTGTGTTTTTGTGCTTAAGGTGCGTGAGTTTTGTGCTTAAGGTGCGTGAGGGTTGTGCTTAAGATGCGTGAGTTTTGTGCTTAAGGTGTATGAGTTTGTGTTCTGAATGTATTTTGTTTGTGTGTTTAATGTGCGTGTGTTGTGTACTTAAAGTGCGCCAGTGTAATGCTTAATGTGAGTCCACCCGCACAACCGCACGGGAAGCACCACCCGCACCACACGGGAAGAGCCTGGGTTGTACTACACGCTAATCGTCGGGGCAATAACAGAAACTGTGAAAATCGCCGATAGCATCAAAGCTACCACGCTCGCAACGGGCCGTGATGTTTTGGAAGTATGGGACAGAACTCTGATATGGGTGGGGTATTTCGGCATGGAAGTGGGGTTCTTGCGGGGTAGGATAAGCGAGTTGATTAGGCTGTGCGAGGCAGCAGAAATTATTACCGCAAAGGAGAAAGAAAAAGCCATAGCCGAAGCGGAGATGAAAGATCTCCTGTACAAGGTGTTCGAGGTGAGTGTGGTGATTAAGAATTTGAAGGAGGAGACCCAGGCACATAGCGGCGGGGAGAGGGTAGAGGAGGTTTTCAAGAACGTTGCGAGTGCTAATTGGTGAAAAGTGAAAACCCTTATTTTGTAGTGATTGAATGTTATAATTCTTCCAAAAGGCTGAACCCCAACCCTGGCCCGACAGAGCATTTGGGAGGATGTAAATCATGGTCACTCAACTGAACATGAACCATAGAGGCTAGACCTTTTTTCAGGTGCGCACAAGGAACCCCCCTCACTGCCGCTGGTGAGACTTAATCCCTGGTCATTCTTCCAAAGTTTCACTTCTATGACCAGTTGAGTTACCCATGCGGGTTTGAATGTTATAATTATTTGATAAACTAGTAGATTATTGTATAAGTATGAAGTAGTTAGCGTATGATTTGGGCAAAACTAGTAGATTAAGAAAATTGTTTTAATGTGTATGGCTATTGTAATTCATTTGTGGCTAATTTGTAGTAAATTTTTTTAATCTATTGCAATAGCTTGTGTAGTATGCTAAAGAAATCAAGGCAAATCCATTCTGAATTTTAAATACACAAGTTTTTCTTTCATCTTCTAGAATTGGTGCAACGGACTCCCCCGTGCGACGATCGTGCGGCCATCTCATTATTGTCGATTCTCTAATTCTTCGATCTCTCATCACAGATTCTCTGCTTCTTAATTACTACGTGTTTGAGCCTTTTACCTCTAAAAATATACAAATAAAGTTATTACCACTTAAGAAATTAAACTTGGATTTAATACCAAGGCTCTGAGGTAAGGATAAATTGGTAAGCCAAAATCCTGTATCTAGGATCATACGAACCATTCATAACGGGTCTACACAAGATAATTTTACAATTGTGAAATATATACACACGCAAAGGCACCTCCGGATAATAAAAAACTTGAATTAAAGAACTTGTAGTCATTGAAAGGATCGGAATGTGATTCAAAGAATGTGAAAATAAATTAATCTTAACTATAATCAAGCCAAATGGTTTGGTGAAAAAATCCCGCCCAAATGCTAATGATGTCGTTTGGGAAAAAAACGTTGAGGAATGTTTCTGTTACACTGCATACGGTATCGTTTGGATTAAATAAATGGTTTGCGCCGTATTTTAATTGCAGAGTTTTAATTATAAGCTTTTTGGAATTATCTATTGTAACCTTTCGAATGGTCATATACTGCAATAATATGAATACGAGATAAATCAATTATTGTTACAATTATTATCCTACACTTTGAATCGTCATTCTTTTGGAATTCCTAAACGATAGAATGAACAGTCATCACGTTAAGTATATAAATAGATGGAAAGAATACGAAATTACATCCACCGCAAATACTACACATTATAGCGTTTGTTTACATCACAACTCCAAGTTTCAGATCATGGCTCCCCTGTTCATCACGACATGATGAAACATATAAGAGGGTAAGTGGAATCCAAACCTCCAAAAAATGGTGTCTTAACTTCTCATTGATGCACGCTAACTTAATGATAGGATGGTGGTTGAGTCTCTTAACCTTTATATAATTAACATAATAATTAGTTCACTTACCTCTTCAAAACTACTAAGCTCAAAGTTAATTGAAATGGTTCAACATAATGTTTAAATTATATCGAACTTGACTCTTGGGACTATACATAAAAGCATCAATTGTATTAGTTGATAAACTAAGTATGAAAGTATGCTAAAGAAAGTATGAAAGTAGTTAGCGGATGATTTGGGCAAAACTAGTAGATTAGAAAAATTGTTTTAATGTGTATGGCTATTGTAATTAATTATTAGTGGCTAATAATTTGTAGGGAATTTGTTAATCGATTGCAATAGCTTGTGCAGTATGTTAAAGAAATCAAGACAAATCCATTAAAATTTTAAATACACAAGTTTTTCTTTCATTATTGAAATGGACTCCTCCCGTGCGACGATGGTGCTACCGTTTTATTATTGCCAATTCTCTACTTCTTCGATCTTTCATCACAGATTCTCTGCTTCTTAATTACTACTTGTTTGAGCCTTTTATCCCTACATCGAGATAATTTAAAAATATACAAATAAAATTATTACCACTTAAGAAACTTGGATTTAATACCAAGGCCATGAGGTAAGGATCAATTGATAAGCCAAAATCCTTATATCTAGGATCATACGGATCATTCATAATGGACCTACACAAGATAATTTTATAATTGTGAAATATATATACATGCACTTTAAAAGAGCTAAAACACATTATAGGCACCACCAAGCAAAAAAAAAAAAAAAAAAACTTTAATTATGGGGCATTACCTATGACTTGATTATGAATGCATGATAGGGTTAAAAGTCTGAAAGGTGGACCAATGGCATTATTCTGGGACGGGATAAACCAATGGAGATTGGACAGGTAGCTAATGAAGGGAGTGTGAAGTGTATGATGGAAAGGGGAGCTATACTTAGGGGCCGTGCTTGGTGAGACCGGAGCTATGGCCCCGATTAATGGCGTGTGGATGGCTTTTAGTTTGGCATTTGGATAAAATTTTAACATAATACACATCAACTCTTAATATAATACACAAAAATTTCCTGATTCGGATGTACATAATTGTATAAAAAAATGTACATAATTGTATAAAAATGTACATAATAAAAAATATACATAATTGTATAAACAAATATACATAATCATGTCAACTTCCTACCGCGCCTCCCAAAACGACGTCGTTTTGGGAGGCGCGGCCCACACAGTGCACTGTGTGCCGTGGTTCAGGGTATAATGATTGCGTTTTGGACATTGTGGTTTATCTTAGGGGCAAATTATGCTGTGGACTCGTGTCCACAATGCATTGTGGACACGATTCCAAAACGACGTCGTTTTAAGGGAAAACGTGGCCTTCCAGTTAAAAAAAAAAAAACATTTTGATTTTGTCTCGCCGTTAACGGCGTTATTCGTTTGTGGCATTATGAATGTACAGTTTTGGAATTATTAATAT